GAGATGTATAGCCTCCAAACACTTGCCCATGCTCACTCTAGATAAATGAAATAGTAGGCCCTTTATTATCGCATTTTTAATGAAAACTAGAGGCAGTAAATCCATCACTCGTTGCTTTGAATATAAGTTTGCATTAGCCAGTTAGAGGTAAAAATTTGCATAATTACAATGTTACAATTTGATAATCGACCAATCCTCTGAAATTCTTTGGCTTGTCTTTTTCAGATATTATTTTACATAACTCAGCAACAGACTTTTCATTTGGTTGCATTGGCATGTTAATTTGAATATTTTCTAGATTTTCAAAAGTTGACATCTTTGTCTGCAGTTCGTTATGGAATAAACTCAATTCTTCCAATGGCTGATCTGAGCTCTAGAATTTATTTATTTGAGTTACTAAGTCAAGAAACTCACTTGCTTTGAGCATCTTATCCTTGTTTTGATATGATGAGAGACTTTTAATGATCACTTAAATTCTTTCGAGCAAATTTTGAAGAATGGGATATTTATGTTGTATATAATCTTCCACGTCTTTTCTCAAAATATTTTAATGTTCTGAATTTTTCTGATTAATGCATGGGCATGCAGTTGAGCAAATTCTACAGAGCAACTAATGAGTTGTTTTGCAGTATATTTTAACAAGTTTGTCAGGATGTGTATCGCAGTTTATGTTGATTGTGTTGAGTTTTTCAAGATTATTCATTAATGGTATGACAGGAAACATTTTGAAATTCTCATCAATCGAACAAGAGTCACTAATAGGGCAGGATTTGAAAGATCCTTCTTTAGAAATCTGAATATTTATGCACTGATTGCAAATTACGTGCCCACAAGATAATATAGTAGGCTTTCTGAGTGCTGAATTATAGAATAAATTGCATCCTTCGCAAATATAAACGTTCATTGCTTAATGGATATTTTGAGTCAGTGATTCCTTATAATTATTAATATAATCTATTAGTTGAATTGGGATCCTATTTCTCAAAAATCGAATTTTCATTTTACTAACTTATAAATTCCCAACATATGATCATCACGGGGTTTTGGGGTTTTGGGGTTTTGGGG